AATAAAAAAAAAAAAAAAAAGAACTATTAACAACTATAGATGACCTCTTTTCTGCTTCCAAGACAAAATAAAAGTTGTTAACCTGTTACGAGGGAAGGATGGTGCCTCACTTTAGCCAGTCAGTTGGTGATCCCTCTACTTGAGCTCTGCGCACCTCCAGCTTCCTGGGGACCTACCTGTCAATGCCCCTCCCGCACGTGACTCCTCCCTATTTATTGGCTCCTCCTGTCTCATAATTGTGGTCATTTGTGCCATGAGACAACAAAGGCTGAAACACACACTCTGCCATCGGCACTTGCTCCCCCTGCCGCTCCAGCTGCCACCTGCTTTGACCTGGCTGACTCCTACTCATTCTCCAGGTTTCTGCTTTAAATACTCCACATGGCTTTCCTGGGGGGCCACTCCCCATCCTCTACCTCTGACTAAATTATAGCCACCTCCTACATGCTCTTTTAATATTCTACACATTTTAAAAGCTTATTTTTAAAAATCAAAGTAACGTAAGTACATGGTTTAAAAAGTCAAATGCTGTTACACTGTAAGATCTGTGTTAAAACAAATCAGCACTCCTCTGCTCCGTTTTCCCATCTCCCTGTCCTGCTCCTCACAGGCAACCATTCTCAACACCTCTGAACTGTCCCTCTAGCATGTTCCCTCAGTGACCCCTAGATCTGTCTTCCCAACAGGGCTGAGAGGGCCTCAAGGCAGGGATCAACACACATGTCCACTTAACTTGTGTCCCCAACTAGTAAAATGCCTGACACACAAGAGCACTTATGAACCATGTTAAATGACCAGTCTCACAAACAACTTCCACTAAAAAAACAAAACTAGGCCCTAGAGGGTAAGATGCATTTGAGCAGATGTATTACTTTACAGACGACTTGTAAAATGTGCTTGACGTTACAAATTTGTAAATATCTCACCTGCCTTCGCTGGAACGTCAGAGAAATTTGCACTTTTGCAAAATGAGTTCAGTCCTATAGATTAAGATAAAAGAATATATTGTAAATGGAGAAATAAAGTCATTCTTGATATTCAACTATCAGACAGCAAAGTTGTCTTATAAAATGAATAATAATTTTTTAAAAAAGACAGAAAAAGAAAAATATATGAGTATTTGATTTCCCTCAGTCAAGTAAAATGGGAAAGGCCACAGCCCTCAGACGGGTCATCATTACTGCCCTGCAGACGTTGTCTCACCGCACAGACCCGGGTCATCATCACTGCCCTGCAGACGTGTCTCACCCACAGACCCAGGTCATCATTACTGCCATGCAGACATGTCTCACCGCACAGACCCGGGTCATCACTGCCCTGCAGACGTGTCTCACCACACAGACCCGGGTCATCATTACTGCCCTGCAGACGTGTCTCA